TCTCTGTACTCAGGCCATAACCAGCTTGATTAAGCACAAATAACCAAACAGCCCTAAGTATGAAGTGATGAGTATGGACCAGCAGAGCACCCACTGCACTGAAGCACCTCCAGCTTTATACCATTTCTATGTTCTCATGCCCTCAGGAGCTTTGTGGGACCTGGCTGAAGTTCCCAACTAGCCAGAAAACCAACACGAATTATCTTTACAGATCTTAATTTCCCATTACAATAACTTCTTTGCTTACAAGCAGGATTTCTAATCTTGCTCCATAGAGCTGGCTGCCACTAGGGATTTAAGCAATTTTTTCTCTGAAAGCAGAGTTAACAGTTCTAAGAAGTTTTAAGTGTTTTATGGGTTAAAAATGCTACCAAGGAAGTCTAATTCTGGTCCCTGCTCTGCAAAAAAGATGTGGATGGGCTGGAGAGGGTCCACAGAGAAGGACCACAAAGATGATCCAAAAGCTGGGCAGCATGTGAGGAAAGGCTGCAGGAGCTGGGACTGTTCAGCCTAAAGAAGGCTCAGGGAGACCTTATCTCCATGTTCCAGTGTTTAAGGGGTGGGTACAGAGAAGACAGAGACTCCCTTTTGACAAGGAGTCCCATGGAACAGACGAGGGGTGATGGGCACAAGTTACTCCTGGGGAGATTCCCACTGGACACAAGCAGAAAATGTTCCCCAGTGAGAACAACCACCATTGGAATGATCTCCCCAGGGAAGTGGTGGATTCCCCAACGTTGGACACTGTTAAGATTCAGCTGTACAGGGTGCTGGGACGTCTAGTCTAGGTCATGCTTTGCCTAGAAAGGTTGGACCCGATGATCCTTGAGGTCACTTTCAACCTGGGATTCTGTGATAGTTGTAAATGCTGCCCTGCTCAGGTTTTACTTTGCATGACCGACGTGCACAGGCTAAAACACAAAATGGGAAGAGCCACATTTCTCCTAAATAAGCCACATCAGCAGTTATGGCTTGCTTATAGATTACTGAGCTGTGGCCTGTTAATTCTCTGCTTTCTAGAACACGTACAACAATCTGTCCTTAAATAGGACTCCAGACTTCGGATTCCTACACAGCAGGATGCCAATGGCAAAGCAAGCCCAGTGCCGGGAACAGTGTTCACACTAAATTTGGCTGCACACAGCTTAAAGTAGAAGGTGTGAGAGGGAAATACCCTTTTTCCCTGCTCCTCCCCTCTCCCCGGTTTAATTGTGACATTGATCAGTCTGTTTGGAGCTACACCCATTCCATGTCCCCCTCTGCCATGTGGAATGGTTTTGTGTCACCATTTTGTGCTGGGTACACGTCTCCCAGTGCTTTACAGCGGGAATGCTCCCCATTAGCTTAAGCTGTGTGTTATTTCTGGATGGGCTCCAGTGCCAGCCCAGGAGAACATCCCTTTATTAGTTCCACTTTGCAGGCTAAGTCTCGAGCACTCCACAGACCATTTCATTTTTGATGCATGCGTAAGCAGTACTTTTTCCAGTAAAAATACTGCTTATTTTGATCATGGCAGTAAATTGTTTAAGTTAGTAAATTGTGCAGGACTTTGCTCAAAGCAGTTGAGCAAAGTTACTCCCTCCTGGCGCTCCCTTGTCCACATTTCGGAAAGGTTTGCACTAATACCTATGCTTTCACACTTTAAAAACCCAACCCAGAACAAACAGCTCATTGGCTCATGTTGTTCTGAGTAAAGAATAAAAAAACCTCCTTCATGGTAAAGGAATTTTAGACACAAAATTCTTTGACATATTCTGTATCATCTATAAAATGATAACTCTGATTAATGCTCCAAGAACAAATCATAGAATGGTTGGGTTGGAAAGGACCTTAAGATCATCTAGTTCCAACCCCTCTGCCATGAGCAGGGATACTTCGCGCTAAACCATTATGGGATTGATGAAGAACATTAGCTGGAATTTCTCCCCCAAAGCAGGTGGAAGCTACAGCACAGGGACTGGAGCAGAGGCAGCATCCCCAGCAGCTCTTCATTGTCAAAGACTACCTTTCAGAAGCCTTTTCCAATACCTGAATGAAAGACACCAGGTATAACACACTATTACTATTAAAAGTTATCCAGCCCTACTTGGTATGGACGGGGCTTGGAGCAACCTGCTCTAGTGGAAGGTGTCCCTGCCTGTGCCAGGGGGTGGAACTGGATAAGCTTTAAGGTCTCTTCCCACCCAAACCATATGTGCTCTACACTGACAATTAGAAAGGTTTAAAGTCAGCATCTTCAACAGTGGGAGTAATTTCCATTGCTCTTTAAACAATGCTCAATGATTCCCAGTGCCATGTTTTAAATGATAATCAATACAAGCCCATGGTGCAACGTATCACCCCCCACCAGAACAAGGCATGGCCAGTGAGCAATGCCTAATGCACTGAAAACGACAAGAATACACGTTACTTGGTGTAGCAACTAACTGCAGTAGTTAAGTAAACAGAAGTTTTGGAGGTTAGTGAGAAGTAAGACCCGAGACAGAGCCTATTTAATCTCTGGTTGTTCATCACAGTGGTTTCTCTCACACAGCAGTGTAGATGAGCTAGTGGAAATGAAGCAATCTTGATTTAAAATGTTCCAACACTCACATTTTAATGGGTTTTATCATTAATTGACTATCTGGCTGAAGAGAAGTTTTCATTGGGGATTTTAAACTTGCCCAATTTATATAAATTTGAAAGCCAGTGTTTTTTCAAACTCCTTTCCAGTTTTCACTTCCTACAAACACTTGTGCAAACCCACCCTGACTATCCATGAAAGTATTCAGTTTTTCTTAGGAAAGCACATTATCCCTGAACTTGACCTAATCTCCACTTCCTCCTTCTCCATGCCAAACATCACTGATCTTTGATAAAGCTGCACACAAATACCAGTTTATTTCTGCAGGCAGCAACTGATCTGAGCCCAGTGGCTACACTGAGGGCAAGGGGTAATTTCTAGTGAAAGAGAAGAATATACTGCTAGGCCACTGGAGACCAATCTACCCACACCAGCACCGCCCCACAGTAACCCCACACCTTTTACTGCCTGAGCCTCAGCCAGCTTTGGGTCTGAGCAGAGGTGGACCATGTCAGTTCTGATCACTTGGTTCTCACTTATTTGCTGATCCAGTAACTACAAAGAGGTATCATGCATCATTTGGAAGTGGCATGCAAAGACAACCACAGTCACTGTGCCTTTATCATTTAAAATGTAGAAATTAAAGTAATTTAAACATACAGCTCCCTCTAAAAACAGCAGAAAAGAAGATATGGAAAAGAAAGTGCCCTGAATTTTTTAACAGCTCATTTTAAACATGCTGCCGTTCAAATCCAAAAGTATTTTCAGTACTTACTTAAAGAACTGAAACAATCTGAAAATGCATATGTATGGCCAGAGAAGGGCATATACCACTCTTCTTGCACTGCAGTCACACCACCACAACACATGTCCACTGAAGGATTGCTTTGTTTCCAAGAGAGAGCACTCGCTGCACAGTTGACTCACAGGCTTTATTTACACTTGTCTACAGAATCATTTTGCCTTACATTTTATCTAAGCCAAATGAAACCATCATTTTCCTTTTGTCTGGTAGCCTATCATTTGCTAAATGTAAAAATTTCCATCTGTTAAGTACAGCAACAATTGTAATACAAAGCACAAGGAGAAAACCCAAAGGCTAACAACATCGCATCTAGCGGCTCCGATCTGTACAGTTTAGTAGTTGGACTGAAGTTGTCAGAGGCAGTTATAAGACTAACCTGCTCTTGTGCAACCTACACACACCTAGCACTGAAATTAGAAAAGAAAGCATTAAAGAAGGAACTGCAGAGCATTTTTTCTTCTGCAAAAAAAGATTATCAAAATATCTCTACACCAAAAACATTTTGCTTCTACATCAGTCCAAAAGAAGTGTCTTAAAAAATAACAGTAAGAAAAGGAAGAATGTGTTTTTTAAATGTTGCTCCGTTTGTTTCTGTGCAGTTCATTTTAAAAAGCAGTGGTCAAAAAGGAGTTTGGAAGCTCTAGGACTCAAGTAAATGTAGATATATTGCTGTTTGCTTGCTTAAAAAGAATTTTCCTTAACATACTTACCTTGTGATGGCACGGACGATACTTAAACCTTGCTTAACCAAACGGAGCTCAAGAGAGACCAAGTCTTAATGTGATATTGCTACTCAAGTAGATTCAATGAAGCATTTTAAGCCATAAATTACATTTAAGGGAAAAAGAATGACTGATGAAGAACACATTTAGGATGTCAGAACTTTCTACGCAGTTTATTAATTCTCACTTTTAAATATAAATAAAATTCAGATACCTTGAAAATTTTAGTTAGCCCCAAATGAATTTTACAGGCGGCCTGCAGAAGCTTCACTTGATTCCAAGAAGCTAGTTCCACATGCCTCCATCTCAAGAGTAGCTCCTAAAGTGATCCTTTTATAGGAGAGGATCGCCGTGTCCAGAGTCCATGTGTGTGACACCGCCACAGCCAGTACCCACTGCAAAGGGCACGTTGCTGATGGCAGCAAATCATTCCTAGTGATAGGCACTGGCAGCTATGGGACACCAGCTTTGGAGAGGACAGTGCCCAGTATCTCAAAACATCCTTGCTTGGAAGGAATGAGGTCTAATCTGCTCTCTACAGAACCATCTGCTGCTCTGGGTATTTAACAGCTACTCTGCACTGAGCAGAGCTAAAGAGAGGGGCATCCATCTGTACTTCAACATAGAAAAACAAAAAATAACTAGACCTAAGTACTCGCTACTGTCATCCAGTGGGTAAACCCAGCCCTACAGCTACACTAATGTGTGGTCCCGTACAAACAAGCTCAGGAGCTGGATGCAGAAAGCTTACGGGTTCTTCTGCAATCCTCAGATACATGAAGAGCAAAGTGGGGTTGGAACATACCTGCTCTTACATGTAAGAGAGCCACGAACTGAGTGAGAGAGCCAGGAACTGAGCAACTGAGTCTTTAAAAGCAATAAACCCCTTCTTGACTCAAGTAATAAATGCTCACACCTCCTCTGAGGAGTTTATGGCTTAAAATGCTACCTCACGTTTTGTTTCATGAACAAAGCTGCAGGTTTCCAGAAAGCAAGGACAGACATGCACCTCTACTAGCAGATTTAGCACTTCTGACCAAGTAAGACACCAACTTCTTAAAAATGTCTCATGCACTGACTGGAATTTGTTTTTCCTGGGTTTTTTGTTTTTTAAAGGTGAGCTTTAATACATTATTTCTTTTTAGAACTTGTACGGGAACCAGAATGGGAAGATCCAGATGATGATCTGCGGCGTCTGCAAGATATAAATGGAGAAAGCATGCAAAGAAATAAGTTGAAGTTAATTTTAGCATCCACTTTGAGCAGTCTGTATCCTACAATAGCTGGAAGCAAAGTATATCTGATAGGGGCCTTATAAGGATATAGAAATAACTTTAAACCACTTTAAGCTCACGAATGTGAATTTAATGCTAGAAGTTTAATAGTGAGAGTAGAATACAGCTTCTAAATGCAGTATTTACTTATGAAACTAAATCATTAATATACACATTAATGCTTTCACACACTGAAAGAATGGTGACCCAGGTCTTTCTATGGAACATGCTCCTAACCAGGAGGAAGTTTTGTTGGGGGGGGAAGCAATTAGAGGTTTTAATAGGAAGTAAAGAGTAGGGGAAGTGAGAAAACTACTTTAAGTATCAGAATAACTGATCAGATTCAATTCCTTCCCAGTGAATCTCAAGTCCTTCAGAAAAAATAAATCAAAATCACACATTTAACTACACCCATTCTTATTCTACATAAACCCAAACCTTTCGGGTGACCGTGATCTCGATCGTCTTTTTTTGCGATCACCAGATGAAGAAGATCGAGAACGACTTCGCTTCTTGCTTCTCTCGGGGGAGGAGGAAGAACGAGAGCTCGAGTAAGATCTCTTTCTTGGGGTGGAAGACCCCCTGTAGGACCTGGAGCTGGATCTTTATTGATTAAGAAATAAATGAGATTTAATTCTGGTATAATACAGAGACAACAAAGAAAGAACATAAAGAGACAGTTTTCACACTCACTACTCTAGTCGCATCAGTGCTTTGTCAAATAAACGTGTGGATGCTTTAATACTTACTCCTTAGTTATCTGCCAATAAACACTTCTAAAGCCAAAGTAGTATTCTTATTAAATTTTCCTAGTGTTTTTTTTGCTACAGAGACCACCAAGAGGTTGGAAACCTCTTTCCAGCATTCACCAGAATGATGCACATGGATAAAGAGGCGATGGCAGACTGGGGTAGGAAGCAGCCTGTGTAAGGACTTTCCTCAGTATTTAAACTCACAAAGCAAAATGGCTTGAAAAGCATCAAGGTGATGCTGACTTAACAGTGATTCACCTCATATTAGTGGATACTTCACATTAGAGATTTGTAAGGTTCATCTTACTAGAATAATAAGAACCCTCAGAAGGTATATTTACAAATCTCACAATAATTCGTGTAGAGTAAGACCTTCCACAACTAAAAGATTTTAAACCCTCTTACAATACAGTCATTTTGGCATTAAAAAAAAAAAATACATAATCAACCAGCTTCACTTACAAACACTCAAAAAATCACTCTGGTTATCTAAAAGAATAAAGCAAGGAAAAGAAACCCACCTGTGGAAAAAGTGATAGAGCTGCACAGTCCTAAGCTCTAATTCCAAATTTCTATCAAAACACCTAACATGAGTCTTTTTTTCAGTAAGATGGATAAAACATTTTAAAAGCCCCAACAACACAGTGTATGTGGTTGGTAAAGCATTTCCACTGTAAATCATAATAGTAGGGCAATCCTATTTTCACAAGCTCACACTGTGAGCACGCTTGGTGGGTGCTGCGTTGAGTCCCTGCAGCACCCATGGGGCCACAGCCACCCCTTTTGCTCCTCCTAGAAGCAAGGACTCCACCTCGTGCTGACCCTCACGTGATAACCCTCAGCATGTTCTGCCACCAAAGGGTGCTGGCACCATCTGTGACTGGTCTTCCTGATGCAAAACTTCCTTATTTACAATTTCAAGATTCTCTGCACACATGGAGGTGGGACAGCTCCTCATGCCATGGCAAAAGGCAAGTCCTGCCAACAGGATGCCTGTGCACCTCAAGAAACTTCTGTGCTTTGTCACCCTTCCCCACACAAGTCAGTACCTGCAGTTAGCTCGAGCTCCTGTAGGCTTCTCATGTGATTCACTATCAACACTTGGATTCACTGATTTTTATATCCTACATTATAAAGATAATGACAGCACTACCTAGTGGAAGTTGGATTCACAGAATCCGAGACTGGTTTGAGCTGGGTTGGAAGGAACCTTACAGCTCCTCCAGCTCCAACCCCTGCCCCGGGCAGGGACACCTTCCACTAGAGCAGGTTGCTCCAAGCTCCTGTGTCCAACCTGGCCTTGAACACTGCCAGGGATGGGGCAGCCACAGCTTCTCTGGGCACCCTGTGCCAGCGCCTCAGCACCC